CCAGTAGTTGTAACAACATCAACAACACTACGAACAATCATCATCTAATACGAGAGCATGTTGATATTTGAGTAGTAATGCGAACAGAATAAAATCATCCTACTGAACGCCGAACCTCCTAGCCTGAGCCGTAGTACGCAGATGAGCATCTGCATCAAGCTTACCCTGAAACAGAAATCAACTACATGTGTTGGTGAGAATATGAAAATTCTGAGAGGAAATTTTTCAGGGGTATTCTTCTTTGGTATTTATACGCTAATTCCTATATAAACTCCCGAGCTCAGCCGAGGAAAGCAAACATATATTCTATCCCCTCACCTTGTTAAAACCAGTCCCGATGATATTGCCAGCGTAGGTGCCTGGAATAAAGCCAGAATAGCCCGGAATGCATCTAGTGATCTTGCGGTCTTGATCCATCTTTGGAGATTTAGTGACAGTACTGTAAGTAATCTGGTAACTGATCGAAAGGCGGGGATTACTGCATAGAACGAAGAGGACTTCTACTAGGTTTTAATTTCCTGTTCTCTATTCCAATCGAACACTCCTTTCCTTTGCTGAGGTTCCTCGCAGTTTTCCAATTTGGTCTGATATTGACAAGATCGGTCAGGCTATTAGTTGTATCTTTACCAAGTTCTTTGCGGTTCTTTTATCGAACCTTCCGTTACACCTTGGCGAGTCAGTTCGCCACCAACGGTCCTCCGGAGAATAAACAACCTTAGCGTTTTCCGGTACGCGATAACTAAGAGGTGGTGGTGACACCATCGGTGACACTTTAATGATCCCTACCGTTGATCGAACTTGGGCGGAGATAGTTGCTCCGCTAGATCATCGTGAGTGGTCTTGACCGAGGGACTCATATCGATAGTGAATCTCGTAGATTTTGGTGAACTATCTGTAGAATGAATTGGGAATCCCCGAAATCGTAACAACACTGAACATGTCCGACAGAAATGAGCTACTAAGCAATTTAAATGAGCGCATAAGCGCAAAAAGCTGAAATGTAATAAATCATAATAAATGGGGATGTAATGATTGCATTAGACTTAGGCTTAGTAGTTGTTGTTGAGGGTGACACAGGACCAGCAGTGGTGACAGGTCTAACGGTAGTGGTGACACCAGTGTAGTTCTTAAAGGCCTCATCCATGATCCACCCTAGACGAATGGCCGCCTTCGCCAGTTGCTCTCGCAACATGCCGATTCTACTTGTGTAATATTCTCTACTCAAACCGTCGTTGTCTTGTATATCGCGACCGTCCATATTGCGGTACGCGATACGACAAGCAAGGTCAGCAGCTTCATTGAGTATCATATCAATACATGCGTTAATACCATGTTGAGTGCATTCAGCCAACCACGAAGGCACCATACCGGCGTACTTCTGGTCGAGGTCAGCACCAATGGAGTTAGAAGTGACTCGCCAGAATTTCATACGATGGGAACTGCTATTTGAATCTTGTTGAACGTATTTGCCAGGATATAACGCACCTTGCATTTCGTCCAGTATTTTCTCTCTCCAGGCTTTGCTCAAGTCGACGTTACTGAAATCGGCGAAATTGATGTGAACGTTTATTTTCTTGCCACCTTGATCTGATGAACGACCAGCACTCAGAGGCAAATGAGCATCAGCAACGAAATGCACGAGGAACTTCACAGCTTCGCTCCGCTCTTTAGTAGAGAGGTAAGGATCGATCATCCTGTTGGTGTAGTTCCAAATCGAACCCGCGAGACAGCGCCCGTTGTTGGTACAGTCTCGGGCGTAGTTGAAGTTGCAGTGGTCGTTGTAAGCAGTGCTGAGGCCGGCTAGCCAGGGATAGGTGAGCCTCGCGACCCAGTTAGCAGTGGTAGAAAGGCGATAGTCGTTGCCCAACATAGTGGAGAGCTCTTGACGAGTTTTATCAGCCAGTCGCAGATCAGCGAGTTCCACGACAACAGCATGGAAGTCTGACCCGAGGACAGGGGAGAGGCTGAGAAGTAGTGATAGTAGAGGGAACTCCATTAGGGGGATAATGTCAAAATGGCGACTGCCAAGCATAGATAGTATTAGAAGAAAAACCGAGTTTGTGATTTTCTTATATATGGTGAAATATACGAATTGTCCCAAGCGTAATTGATCGTGGTTAAACTGAGGAAGAACATGGCTCGCTGTAGGACACGAGACAAGTATGACAGCAACTCGATCGAACCTAAATGCACAAAAACTCGGCGGAGCGAAGCTCTAAATTGATGATCAGGGATGGATCATCACACAGAGAGAAACGATAATCAGCAGCCTTAAACAATCGAGTGAAACAACAAAATCCTCAGAGGGAACGAACAGCAGTCTCTGGTAGAGACTCTCTACAAAGAGCAGGTAACTTCTTCAAAATTTCGTGCAAGTGCACAACATTTTTGTGCACGCGTACGGCGGAGCGAAGCGATTCGTGTTGTGCATTTTCGTTTCTGTCTGTGTCGCTGTCGAACATAAAAGACAACAGAGGGGCGATTTTGGGGTTTTATTGCTTCCTTGTCTTTAGCATACAATGAATAACTATGACGGGTTGTTGGTCAGCGTCACGCGCCACGAAATTATTACGTGAACTGATTTTTCTTTTTCATAACACTCTATTTTGAAAGCATCTGAAATCGTGATAGCTCAGGGGTGGTCTGTGAGCAGCTTCATATCAGTGTTGGAGTAGGAATATATGTTTCTGAGCTGGGAATTTTCCTCACTAGATCTAGTAACTCGGGTAAAAGTGTACAGAAACCAACAAGAATTTCCCAAAATTCCCTCTCAGAATTTCCATATTATCATCACCAACACATGTAGTTGACCATGTGCATATTTTTCCCCTACACTACTTCATATGCCCACGAATAGAAAGAATTTCACTGCCCGTTCAACGTGAAGTGGCGCGATGCTCTATGTGAATACTAAGGCGTGTTTATTTCTCCTACGGGTACCACAATTTTCCCCGCGCAGTGAAATGTGGAAGATATGTTGTTCGCATATCACGGGTGAAGCTCTAGTGTTCTCATCAGTTGCTTTTGACCACTGTCAACATTCACGCCGAATTTTCCTGACACCATACCACTCTTTCATCGAAAATGTACGACTTCCCCACCCAAGGACCGCCCGGCATGGCTTCGGATATAAAGCAGCTTATGCGGGAGGAGAGGAGGGACTCCCAAGAAGATTCGCAAGAACCGACTTTCGAGGGTGAGTGTCCTATACAGTGTTGGAGTAGGAATATATGTAATCGCTTTCCTCACCTGCTGAGCTCAGAAGAGTTTCCTATACAGTGTTGGAGTAGGAATATATGTAATCGCTTTCCTCACCTGCTGAGCTCAGAAGAGTTTCCTATACAGTGTTGGAGTAGGAATATATGTAAT